CCATTCCACTGTAGCCTAAAAACAACAAAACTGAACGACAGATAAGACCAGCATGTGAAGCCCTTCAGGATGTTACACCGAAAATGGCGAATAGCTTCCTGTTTTTCCTTTGTAACAAAATTACTACAGCCGACTACAGAGAAGTTGATGTCGTAAGAGAGTGAAAACAACAACAGCAAACGAGATCACCTCCTGTGGCGGTGGGTAGTGAAAGGCTCACGGGCTTGAGCCCCCCTCCCCATCTCCAAGTCTATCCCAAGGCAAATGAAAATAAGCAGTTGAAACTGTTCTGATCGACCGCAATGAACACAGAGTGATAAACTAGGCGGCTTGCTCTTTTATCCAATCACTGTTGGCCCCGCTTACAACTATAGTAACCTAACAGCCAATCAAATGTCTTTAGGGCTCAGCAATCAACCAGCCCGTCCCCACGGTCTCTCCTTAATGAAACCCCTCTTATAAAAAGATAAAAGACTTGAAAAAAATAACACTGCACAGAGGGCTCACGCTCTCCCAGCCCTGACAATGGGGTGAAAGTTTACGACACACTATCCCTCAGTGACACAGTTACCTAAGCGCTCATTGGGCCTTTGTTAGGCGCGTTCTATTTTCTGCAACAACACGACCCTATCCACCTCATACACGGTGTGTGTTTGGAGTGCTGTGTGTTTGTGCCGCTGAGATTTATTGTTATCAATAAATATCAAGTAAAAAATAATTAGAGAAATTTGGAGGTGAAACGGCTTCTTCCCCACCATCCAGAAGAATTTAACGTAGAACAAAGAGATGGCAGACAAAGGTGACTCTTCTCGTTTGAATGGTTCTCAAAATGCCGTGGCTCGCCGTGAGTATAGAAAAATCATCACTGTGTTGTTCTTATTGCTTTCTTTTTGGTGGTAAAGAAGTGGAAGAAACCTAAGCCCCACCCAAATCTAGGTTCACCCACCGCCACTGATCACCTCATCCGAAGTTCAACTTAACCGTTGGGATCTGTAAAGAAGAAGATGACGTGCTGGGGCCGGAGAGAAAGATCAACTTAACCGATGATCAACTCAAGCGAGTTCAAAACAAGCGGAGTCGACCGTACCATTTATTGTGTTTGTACATGTGTTGGATGTTATAATATCATCATGCAACGAACTTTTAGACCTCATGTTTGGAGAGAGAACAAAATCAGTTTAAACGTCTGTTAAAAGTTACGTAAAAACTCATTATACAGAGTCTCACTAACTAAAATGGGCCAGGCACATGGAGTGTAATGAATGTTTATATGGATAGAAAGAAAATATTGCTCAATTCAATATTTGAGACGCAAAAGTTAAGGTTCGACATTGTGAATCTTAGAGAAATCTTCCGCTAACAGGAAATTTCGGTCACCTAAGAGGAAATGAACCGTAAAGCTGCTGAATAGTTTGGAGGCTTTCAACTGTTCTGTCCACATGGAACGTTTGCTGTAAAAAAAAATAATTAATGTGTTCATGTCTGCGTAATAGGGTTAGACACAAATGAGTATAAACAAATGAGATGCCATATATCCCACGTCAGCCCTCCCCCCTCCCCTTTCCTTTTTTTTCACACACATATTCAAGCAGAACTTTAAAAAAAAAATATGATTCAAGCTCTTGGAACCCCCTCCCCCCCCCCCCCCCCCACACACACACACACACCAAAAAAATTAAAAAAAATTAAATTAAAATAAAAAATTAAAAAAAATTAATTAATAACAAAGAAAAAGTAAACAAATAGCCATTGTTCTGATCATTGAAAGGGGGAGGGGGGGGGGGGGGTTCAAAACCATTTTTTGCTTTAAAAGACAGAAATACACTAATGGAACTAGCTGTCTGACTTGTTTTAACGAAGTCGTAATTCAACATGTACATTTCATCTCAATACGTGACTCTTAAATTTATTCCTGTTCAAGATATCCAAGAGCCCAGTTGTACATGATTGGGTTTAGAACATAATATCAATCAATCTACTAAATCTGAATAAATTATGTGTTTAAAAAGAATATTAGTTGAATGAAATCAGTATATTTTCAAATGCCACTGTTACCACAGTAGCCGTGATTTAAAATAATTATAAACAGGATGCTATAATGTTGTGTTTTAAAAGTGTTTGCCTCTTTACTTCCTTAAAACAAAAAGGTGGAACATTTTACCTGAGGTTTTATAGTTTCCTGAGAAGCGCTCCTCCTCTTAAGAGAAATATTCTTGAAGTTATAACTTTAACTTTAAAAAAATTATTATGTTCATGAGTAACACAACAGAATAGCAGAATCTTCTGGATTCTTGTTCCGCACGTAGCGTGTACGTCGTTTATTTCAAGCGCCTTTATTCTGTAGATATCAAGTTTTTTATGTTGTTGGTCGAGATGAACTGTTAAGCTGTGCTTCTCTCTTAGTTGTTGGCAACAAAACTGTCGTTTTGTCGATGTATTTGTCTGTCTATTTGTAAAACTTCTTTTAATCATTACAGAGTTGTGCCTGTTAAAAAGATGACGCATAGTTTGTGTCTTGTAGGTATTCCTGTTGAGAAAAGAATTGTGTACAAGTCGGCCTCACTATGTCACAAATTTTTTGAATGATAATGCGCCATCTTACTTATCAAATCTGTTGAGACTGTATGTTCCAACTCGCAGTTTAAGGTCATCAGCTGACAAAAAGAAATTCCCTTTGCCATAATAATTTGAAACTTAAAACAATAGGTGAAAGGGGATTTGAATACCATGGCCCCGAGATCTGGAATGCTTTGCCAAGTACTTTAAGAGAGATCAAATCCTTTGATTTATTCAAATGTCAACAGAAGTAATTTTTCTTTTTAAATTAATAAGATGAATATTTGGAGTGATTTTTTTGGTCAGAACACAACGTTTTATGTTACCTTTGTACTGTATTGTAAGGTGCCCAGGGCCTGTGTAATTTAATTGGGTTTGAGTGCTATATAAATGTCATTTACTATTATCATTATTACTTTTATTTTTCAACTAAAAAAATTGTGAAATGCAGTCAAACTTGTTCTAATGGGTATCCAGCTCAAAATAGCGAAATACGATCGAACCTATTCTAACGTCTACCTATCAAAGACAGTCTCCTGTATGAAAGGCCACTTCCTTCACCTGTTCAAGAAAACCATTTTTCTCCTCGACAATGGGTGGCCGCCTTGGGAAATTTCTACTCTAATAACAAAAAAGGGTGTGACATACTAAGATACAATGTACCAGCAATCAGGGGCGGCTCGAAAGGCTAAAAAGCGGACGTGTACAATTAAGCTATCGTAGGCTGAAGATAGTCAAGAGATGGTGTGGGCTAATAATTCTTTTGTTTGACGAGGGCGGATCTCGTGCTTTTATTTTCGTTCTTTTTGCTCGTCGCTTAGATTTCTAGAACCAAATTTCTTTGTTAGCTAAACATCAATCACGTTCATCTTGGATAAGAAATGAACACTCAATTAATAACTTTCACCTCTCCACTACAAAACCATTCAAAGGCACAACTCATGCGACGCTGATTTAAGTATGTCACGTTCATGTCGCTCAGGTTCGCGTTCACAGAGTCACTTTAAATAGTGGCAAGACAATGAACCAATCACAATTCACTTGAACACTCTGCTGGATTGCTCCTGGACTCATTTAATTTTGGAATAGAACAGTGTACTGTCTATTGCGTTTATTTTTAGACTGCCTACTATGGGCTATGTTTCGGCACTATTCGGCAGGAGCACATTTGAGAAGTGCGTCTTATTAATATTAATGTACCACCAAACTTGCTACGAGTGTCTTCATCGCTTGGGTTATCCCAAAGAGTGATTTATAGGTCAGGCTACAGCTGTTGAATATCCTGCTATGTTTAGTTAAAGCGCGTGGACTTTGGCATGGCATATTAGATGTGTTACGGCCCTATAGACGCAGAAATGACAGTTACAGCGCCAGCGAGGACCTTGTTTTGGTATAATATTTCGCTAGTGTTTGTTTCTAGCTTCTTTTAATTTATTATTGAGGTTGCTTTACGCAATAGAACATTAAAGAATTTGAGGTGGGGCAACTAGCGGCTAGAGCTTCCAACACACGAGAATCCGGCTTTCAATTAAAAGGAAGACCAAGAAAAACCTGGCTGGAAGGGGTTAAAAAGGTCCTGGAACAACATAACATATCTATCTCCTTGCACAGAACCGAAACTTGCACCTCCCCTCGACATCCTAGGAATACCAGAAGAAGGAAAAAGTAAAAGTAAAAGAAAGACTGCAAGACGACCGTGCTCTGTGGACGAACTGTGCTTGCCAATAAATGAATAATTAAACTGATAAATTATGTGGTCTTGTTTGTTGACCTTAGCGAAGGCCCACAATATGCCGATCTCTCTTACGGCTGTCATTCCAATGTGTGTGCACATTCTGAACAATGGATGGCCTTCTTGGATAATTTATCTGTAATAACATAACCTTGAAACATTTAAATAATTAAGAAAAAAACGTTTGAAACACAACAAATAATGTATTGTTGTTCTTTTCTTATTCTTCTTGTTAGTTTTTTTTCGGGGGGGGGGGGGGGGGAGTGTTTTAAGGCGCCCGTAACTGTATAAGGTCATGTAAGCACGCGGTTCACATTAAAAAATTTTGAGTTGGAAGGAAATTTTTGAATTTTGCCCGGGTGGCGGCCAAAGCCTACTCTTGGCGATTTTAGACCACCAAGGGATCTTTAACGTTTGCGACATCCACACGGGACCTCCGAAAATGTTTGCCCCTATCCAAGAAGGCTAGGTGTAGATCTTACCTACCATAAGATCAGGGCTCTGGCTGAAAGACAGCAGTAAAAAGAAGCCAAGGAAGGTGTAGCAGTAGAAAGGCTGCAGAAAGAATCAGGAGCCCAGAGGAGGGGACAAAGGAGGTGAGGAGGTTGGGGCAGAAAGTGGAGACGAAAGCAGAAGAAAATTTGTCCTTCGCTATCCGGATTCGAACCCAGGATCTATTGAACGAGAGGCGCCCACGTAATAGCGAACTTACTTGTTGACGTTAGCGAAGGCCCCCAGTATGTCGATCTCTCTCACTGCCGCCATCCCAATGTGTGCGTACATAGCCATGTCACCGAACCCGACCATCATCACCTTGCCTCCGGGCCGACACGCCTGGTTGCGGGAAAGGACAATAAATGATGGCTTACCAATATTTTTTTTTCGAAAGTGCTCGGCTGTCATCCGAAATTTAGTCAATGCTATTTTTAAATTTAGAAAAAAAGGAGTGTATTATAAAATTTGAAATTGGGTTTTCTAGATTACCGGTGTCTGAAAAGTGCAAAAAAAGGAGTCAAGGCTCATTTGCGCCACCATGATGAATTGTGTGACTGTAAATGTAATTGCAGACGTCCAATGCCTCCATCGACACAACAATGAAGACTAATATTATAGTATTATGTGACACAACGTGGTGAAATCAACCGCTGCTCAAAATACGGAAATCAAATAATATAGGCTTACTGTTTTTTTCTGTCTGTTGGCAGTTTTTATCGCTTTTTTCAGTTAGAAACCTTTTATATCTACTTAAGACACATTTCGATGTTGGTTCTACTGAAACATTTTGATTAAAGGAAAAAACAGAAAGTAAATATCAATTTGCAGCTTTTAAGGACAAGCCTATCAAACTATGGAAGTCACCATTCTCTGGCAGCCATTTTCAAGCTAATTTAACCTCTGAAATCAGACGATCCCTACCTCTTTCAATCGCAAATATCTTGACAATTAAACAAGCTTTCAGATCACACCAGTAATTTCACTTGCCCAAAAGTTGACGAGCGCTTGATTCCACAGCGTTGTGACACATTTATTTTGTTTTGAGTATGGCGGACATCGGAACTAATGAGTGCCCCCCGGTACTGGACTTCGTAACGTCAAAATCTCAAGAAACTCGATACGTTCCTCATCAAAAGGTGAACCAAAGTAGCCAATATCGTAGTCCAAACCCTCACTGTCAGTTTTGTTTGTTTCCCAGAATTCAGGGCTACACTTTTGAGTTGAAACTATACACGCAGGAAACACTTGCTCAGTGTTATACACTAACACCTTTCTTTCTGGGATACATAAAAAAAGTGAAACTATTCAATTGTATTTTCTAAAATAAGGACCCTTAATTTTCTAAAATACTAGTGTATTTGCTCCTCTTAACTCAAACACTCTTTTCGACATTGATATAACTTCGTTCGTGGATCGTTCAGCCAACTGGCAAACGTAAAGAGCCTGGGAGGATAAATAAAGAAGAAATTATAGAATAAGAGAACATCATAGTATACGCTTATGCTAATGGTTATGTTGTTTCATCTGCAGAAAGGTAAAGTTAGAAACTCTTGCCAGGTTAAGTTCGTCCAAATGTAATTGCCTACGTTAGTCTATCCCCACAACCAATATAATGGATTAAAAAGTGAGAGTGAGGGGAAGCCGGGGGCTGGTGGTTAAGGACTTATACAAGTTAGTGATTTTTAAAAGAATGAACAGGAGGACCCCCCCCCCTCCCCAACACCCTCCTCGTCATCTACCCCAAGACAAATTAAATGAAAAATGAAATGCTGCAATGTAGCAATACAGGAAAATCATACGTTTGCAATTCAAGTACCATGACCCTTGCACTGCTTGTTCAAGTGGTTGTGTGTTTTGATTGGCAAGTAAAAGCTTGCTTTAACCACACATCCTATCAATAGCCTCACTAAAGTTGTTAAATTTATTTTCAGATTTCAACAAGTCATTTCTTTTAAGTTAATAGATTTTAGGGTTACTAATTATGGGGCCAGTACAAATAAAACTGTGGGTTGGGAACACTTTAAACGGGGGAAAACATCAGATTTAAAATTGCCATTTATTGTAAATTTGACATAGCATTGATATTCAAGGGACCCTAATTCATCACTCTAAATGCCTAAGATCTTTCCTTTTTGAAATTCATAGCAATCTGTAATTCCAAACGAGCGACTGTGGTGTAGCAGTTATATAGGCTCTCTACCGTAGCACGTAGGAAATCCGAATTCTATACCCGAATTGGGAGACCTTCGGTGGAGTATCTCTGCCTTTGTGCCGGAACGTTTTTTTTTTGTCCCTTTCTATCAAAGTTGTTCCTAACTGGCAGTGTCAGCGTCCCTCTCTTCATAAAAAATCTAAATTCTGTCGGCCGATGCGTAAAAAAATAACACCTACTCGGAAAATGGGATTCCGAGGCAATAGTGCAGGCTGCACTCTAAGGGTTATTGCAAAAATAGATGTTATAGAACAAGCCTCGAGGAAATCTCTTAACATGGAAGATGTAGTTTTAATGTCAGGTTTTCTGAAACCTACAAGTGTGTAAACCCACATGTATGGAAGCGTCCACAGTTCCCTTGGCCCCACTGCACTCAACACACAGGTCCGCCTCTTCACCAAGAGCTGTCCTGAGTTCCAGTCCAGCCTGTTTCGGATCTTCGTTGCGGGACGGCTTGAATATCATATCTGCGCCAAGCTTCTTGGCAACCTCTAGGCGAGCTTCGCTGATGTCTGAGTGAATCATTATGATATACAATGTATATATAAAACTAAATAAAAGCCTCAG